TTGTTTTTGGGCAAAATTCATTTTGATGTGTTTTTGACTGGCACTTTTAGACTTTAGATAATCTTTAAAGATGATGCGATCATAGAATTAATAGTATTATAAGCTATATTTTTTAATGTTGTGATGTAGATGTTAGCTAGAGGGCGCCTGAATTTAAGATTGAAAAATTTAATAATGTAGGCCTGAAAAGTTCTCAAGTGTTGACGTCAAATTTTCTAGTAAATTCTAGAAGTAGATTATAAATGCAAGGTTCAATGAAGCAGCCATATATATATATATATATATATATATCGTTTATAGTCCCTAGAATGACTCATTAAGGTACTGTTTTTGTTCTAGCTAGCGTTGAATCAGTCAGTTCTTTGGTTTTCCGTTAATTGATCTATAAGTTGATAAATTGTGCAAATAAGTTTATTCTTACGTTAGTGTTGTACAGTGGGCATGGCTGTAAAAATGCATACAAGTTACTACAGTGTTTAACTTTGTAAAAACGTTAAAGAAGGAATAAACTAGTTTATTATCGTGACGTGAATTAAACTTTGGATTATTTTCACCAGATAATTAGAAAGAGCCCGTCAACGAAAAAACAACGTCACAACTTTAAAATAAAAGCTTTTAGTGGCACCTTTGTGATATATAAATTTTTGTATGTCCATTTAGGCATTTGCTTTCAATATTATGACATCTGTCAATATACTTACATATTTTTGTTATAAAGCTAACGTAAACAAGAAATGTTTAGTTTTCGTTCTCTCTTTCCTCTCCTTTTAGTTGTGAAGCTTATACAAATATGCGGCAAATTTAGTGACATGATTATGTTGCTTACTAGAGACCACAAAAACTCAAAAAGATTCAAAGGTTTGATTAAAACCATATTATCACAAAGCAAGAGTGACCTTAAACTGATTTGTTTTAGTCCCCCGGTGCCACAGCACTATGTCTGCGGACTTACAACGCCAGAAACCGTTGTGGGCAGAGCCCAGATAGCCCATTGTGTAGCTTTGTGCTTAACTTCAAACAAACAAACAGTCCTCCGCTGGTTCAGTTGTAAACTAAAAGGCTTATAATGTTAAAAATCGGGGTTCGATCTCCGCGGCGGAGACAGCCAATTACGTAGCTTTGCGCTAGAACAAACAAACAAATTGATTCGTTTGAGCAAATGGTTCGTTAATTTTTTTTGTAATGGCTTAGTATAGCCTATAGTTCAGAGCAACATACTTGTTAACCCCATATCTTGTTGAATAATACTCACTGGCAAAACTTCTCGTATAGTCAGCTAGCTGTTATTTATGTTTAAACTATACATTTATTATGAGTTAAAATTTCATTAAAATGTGCACAGAAAACAATTATTTTCAAAATGTAGCGAAAAACAAAAGTAAGACCTTATTTTTCTGGGGTTTCGACTTCTGTGCCTTCTTTCACAACAATCACGTGACTTTATCATGTAGACCAGCGGTATTTTAGTTTTTACTTGTTTCTATTCCTCTTTAAACATATATATATATATATATATCTAATACCACATATAGAATATAAATATATATATTTGTATGTTATTTATATGCTATAAGATAGACGTAATTTATCAATTTCTATAACATTAAATCAACATTTCCCCTGAAGGTGGCACTTTTCAGGGACAATTCAAATGGGCAATTTTTGTTTAATTTTAATAATATCTAATAATTCATTTTTAATTAACTGTAATAAGTCTCACACAGTCGACTTATTTCGTGTTACAATTTTATTCAAACTAAATATTAGCCCCCCAGTGGCACAGCGGAATGTCTGCGGACTTACAACGCTAGAAACCGGGTTTCGATACCCGTGTTGGGCAGAGCACAGATAACCCATTGTGCAGCTTTGTGCTTAACATCAAACAAACTAACTAAGTATTATATAAAGTCAAGTTTAGTTTATTATATGTAGAGGTGTTTGTGTCAATAAACTTTCAGTTTAGTTAGGTGAAACAATCTCTTGTTCACGATACTTTTTAAACTTTTTCACACTTACACATGCTAACTTATAGCTCGCAGAAAAACTAGTTTTAAACTGTGTTGCCTTTATTCTTGAGTAAGTCACGTGTTGTCGTAGTTCCCCGGTGGGACAGAGGTAAGTCTTCGGATTTACAACACTAAAATCGGGGGTTCAATTCCCCCCGGTAGACACAGCAGATAGCTTGATATGGCTTTGCTATAATGAAACACACACACATTGTCGGAAGAAATTTATTTGGTATTTCTATATCTTCCCATGGTTGGTGTTGCTGGAGAATTTCAATGATGTAGGGATATAAAAATACCAAAAACTAGCTCTTCTCTAGTGATTAGGTAAAGTGGGTAACAAATACACTTTGGACAATTTCCCCTACCGAAATAAGTCGACAGTCTTTGATTATCTTACTTTAGCTCAGATTCTGATATATCCATAAACACAGGTGAGAGGGTGCAGTCCTCTATTATTAAATACTTTCGTCCACTGAATCCATACGTCATTCTACACATCGTGTCTTCTGAATCAAGTACTTTCGTCTACTCTCAAACTTTATGGCCCAGTCTCTTTATTTGTTTTAATGAAGCCAAGGCTCAGATATACTTTGCAATACATATTCTGCGGAACCTCTAATTAGAACTTACGAATACCACAATCTAAATTCTCAGCTGTTATGATGTAAAGATCGTCAATATGTTCTTATAAGAAAATAATGACTACTAAAAATGTACCAATAGGCAGACAAAAATCTGAAGCATACAGACAGAAAAAAAAAGATAGGTAACTAGATAGATAAATATATGAATGGCTAAAGAAACAGTCTTTTTCAAAAAAGTAGTAAATAGTTCGACGTCCAGATACATAAGTGAATATAAACAGGCAAGTAAATATGAACAGACAGACGTCCAGAACAAATATGAACAGTTCGACGTCCAGATACATAAGTGAATATAAACAGGCAAGTAAATATGAACAGACAGATAGGATGGCAGGCAGGCAGAAAAACAGACAGATATATAGATAAAAAAAAAATTGACGTCCATCTAACTGATAGAGAAAGAAGCATACTGATACTTACAGCTGGAGGCAAAATATGCCAAGTTTTTATTACTATTATAAACTTCGCTGCACCAATCGGTTTAAAAAGGTTTATGTACTTGGACAATATGAATGGACTTTTGCTTAAACCAGTGAAATTTAACGAAAAAAGTACTGTAGAGAAATATTATATTTGCGCTAATAGTATGAGGTACGAAATGTGTATTAAACTGTTATCAACTAGAGTTATAGTGATTTAAATCTAAGGAATTATTAAGAACTTCAGCCTAAGAGTCAACTTCCATTTTGAATCTCAAACCAAATATTTAGAAATATAAACGAAGACAAGCCTATAAAACAAGTTCACTAGAAATGCTTCTTGTTATAATTCAATAAACTGAAAACTTTATGATTATATTGCATTGGGCTTTTGTTCTTGTTCGTTTATTGTTAAGTACAAAGCTACACAATGGGCTATCTGTTGAAACCCGGTTTTTAACGTTATAAGCCCTCAGCCTTACCGTTGAGCCATTGAGTGAGGGAGGTGTTGCATTGAGTATCAGTTTACAACTCTTAAAATTAGTTATTCCCGTAACGTAACAATAAAAGACAACAAGTAACCTGTTGGTCCATCTAGGATGCCCTATCCACTAAAAAAATCTCTCAAAGCCAGCATTTATAATTTAAATATTCATCAAGTTTCCCTTAAATTCCTTATATGAACTGACTCCACCACATCCGTTTCAGAAGCCAGCCACCCTGTTAGAAAAATAAAGCTGCTTTAGCTGAAGATTACCTCTTCCCTGCCAAAATTTATATCTGTGTCCCCTAGTCTTACCATTAAATATGGAAAAAATTATGCATTAACACTATCAGTTCCCTTAACAATCTTAAACACCTCACTCAGATCCCCTCCATTTTTCTTTATTTCAATAGAGTACAAGTGTAGGGATCATAACCTATACTCATATGATATCCTCTCCATCCAAGGTATCCTCCTAGTAGCCCTTCTCTGAACCATTTCCAACAATTCAATGTCCTTTCTTGGGTATGGACCTCAAGAGTAAACACAATACTCCAAATGTGGCCTAACCAGTGACCTATAAAATGACATTATAACCTCTTTAGACTTGTATTCAATATTTTTGTAGATACAACCTAATATCTCATTTGCTCTGCCACTCACGGCAGCACGTTGCATGGATTGCTTAAGAGACTGGTCAACCAGAACATCAAGGTCATTTTTTTCATACCACTGTTAAAGACAAGATTATGCTTATAATTTCGATTGTGATATACCACTTGCATTTATTGTAATTAAAAGTCAACTGTCATTTTCTCGCCCAATCAATTAAATCATTTCCCAAAATAGTAACATCCTTTTCACAGCCAGCAACACCCAAAAAGTTAATACCACCAAGAAATATATATAATCTATTGATCATTTCTTCATTTAGGTCACTGATGTAAACCACAAATGGCAAAGGTCCTAACACTGAACCCTGAGGTACCCCACTAGTAACAATTATCCCCCACCCCTGTAGAGATAATTTTTTAACAATCCTTTTATGTGATACCTTATCTAATGTTTTCTGAAAATCCACACCTTTATCCTCATCTACGTAAGCAGTAACCTCTTCAAGGATCGTCAAAAGATTAGTAAGGCAAGATTTTCCCTAGTGAAACCATACTGATTATCCAACAAAATTTTAAACTTATTGTAATCTTCAAATTACGGTAATTAAGTATGCTGTTGTTGTATACCTGTAAAATGAAATTATTAACACATTGTAAAAATATAATCTCGGCTAACAGTCAAAAAATCACACCAAAAAGTATAATTTTGTGAACGTTCCACTTAGATAAACACGTGACGTCACCACAGCTTTTCTTCTCTCACCAATTGGCTTTATCGTCAGATCACGTGACGACGTCATTTTTCCGTTAGTGTCATTAACTGACACTTACAAATTACAAGGCACTGTGCCTCATCTACAGTACAAACGTATTTCGCCGCCTCGCGCACAACATTGGTTTTCTATTTTTCTCTACCAAATATAACATAAAACTTATAATTTATATCCAAAAAATGGCCGAAAACAGAGCATCGAAGTCTGGTTTTGCAGCTGAGGCTCATAAAAAGGTAAGTTGATGTTACAGTCTCCAAACGTAATTACGATGCTGAAGCTGCATCTGATGTTGTCGTTATTACTATTAGAGAAGTAGTGAAAAAATAATAAAGTAAAACAAATATATCGTCGTAAGATCAACAACAACAACTGTTATTATACGATATCAGTTCACACTTAGTTAACACAAAGCTACAATCTAGTACAAATATAAAAATTTCTTCAAATATGCAAGAGAGCAGTTTGTATGAATTTCTTACGAACCGAATTTGGTTGAAGCTAATTTATCAACTGAGGAAAATGTTTTATTACAAAAAGGAAAAAGATTGGCAAGATTCGTACAAAAGTTCAGTTTAAAATCACGACTTCTTTACTTTATAGATTTCCTACTTCCAATATCTGTATGAGTTATATGTGCCAGACATTAAGAAAAGATAGATACTTTATTTTTCTTTATTCTTTAGAAGTTTTATTTATCCTCATTCTTCTAAGTAATGTAGGATTTTTATTTTCTCAAAAAATGAACTTCAATCAGTAATTAAATGATTAAAAGACATTCACATACAAAATTTAATTTTTTAACAGTACATTAATTAAGAAAAACGTGGCAAAGTTTTTATAATTTGTGTGACTATGGCAACCAACTGACAATTCCATGTATTTTTACGTGAAATGAATCTTTTTGCTTTTTATGTAATCTTCTCGAAAACAACAACAACAACAAAATGTTGAACTGAGTTGTTTAAACATTTGTTTAACAATAAGTAAAAGCTTGGAATGGTCTATCCTTTCATCGAGGGTGTGGCTGTGGGCATTCCAAACTTTTACTTGTTGTTAAACAAATGTTTAAACAACTCTGTTT